CACTCGGGCCACTCGAAACTCGATGAAAATGTCCGGATGAGAAGTACTTTTCCGTGTATTCGTGCAACTTACTGCGTTACGCGTGAATGCATCGTTAAGAATTTTTTGACTGGAATTATGGTTCCATTATCTTGCGTTAACATGGCGATTTGCAATGGTTATTAATAATGCTTGCGGGCAAAGTTGAAAGCTGAAATCATGCACCTGTTGTAATACACGATAAGGTGCACCTTTATACTTCTTAATTATTCGAAAATATAAGTAATAATAATGATTGTAAAACGTATATTGTAAAGCATGCGAAAGGAAAGCATAAGTCACGATAACAGCAGCCAGGAATACGATCGTTTTGGAAAATTGAGCGTAAGGATCGTTCCCGCGAGGACATAATAGCAGCTCGGCCAGGACATCAGGAATTGCAAGGTTGCGCGAACGAACACGCGATACCTCGGCCTGAAAAATGACGATACCGCGGGCTATATCTCAGCGTCTGCACGAGATATCTTAATTATCGGGCAAAAATTAATTACCGTAACGCCCACCGCGTCCGTGCAATGGAACGAAGGCGGCGGGGACTCCCGTAGGGCATTTGTGGGAGTAGAACACCGCTTACCTGCTTCGCTGTACACTGTGATACCGTGAAATTTTCGACTCCTCTTGAAATGATCCTTTCGCTTCTTCCAGTCCACCTATTATTTTTTACCGATACGTTTCTCACGCCCCATCTATCGGGGGCATTAAAGTTTCTCAATTAACCCTTGAACAGCGGAGCTTGGGTTAATCTAGATTCAAGAATATTAACCTAAAGTTAAGTAAATGAAGAACAAAATTAAATTAAAATTGTGCCTCTCTTCATGGTCCGCCGTCTGAGGGTTCAAATAATTGATACTCTTAAAACGGGAACAATTCTGTGGAAGTGAAACCTAACTCGAATTAGAAAGCACGACGGTGATAAATGATCCAATATAAAACGGTGGCCGAAAAGGAGACATCGATCGTTTTATCGACACAATTGCTAACGAACCACCGACTCAACGAACTCTTTCCTATCCCATTAACCGAAAGCCGCGTTCTTCCCATCACGGCAACAGTTCCGTGATATCTTCTTCTAATTACGGCGACGCGCTTTCCAATGGTTACGGGCGCAGCTGTTATCGGGCATCGCGCGGAAACTCCGTAAATGCGGCGCTCATATTGAACCGATGATAAAATTCCGTCGGTTGTGTCCTTTAGCGGCGATCGAGCGTGCTACCGCGTAGATACGTTTTCCAGATCGTTTTGCATTCCATTCGTATGCTCGTCTATGACCCGTATCTGGTTATATATCGATCGCTTGAAACGTACTGAGAGAATTATTATAGGCGGTGGTGCTCGTTTAACCCTTCGCTATTAACGTGAATTTACAGAACATTGTTATTAACGTCAGTTAATATTAATAATACCAATTATAATCCGTTAAAATTATAGCCGACATGTTAATAAGGGTTCTTCCTTAATAAAAATCGTTTATGTAGGTACCTAATATTCAAGCAAAGTATCGTAATACGCGAGACAGATAATTATAGTTTGATAATTATTAGAATATTTTGGTTACACGGGGGTTCGCGATGGTGTAACGAAGGGTAAATGCAAGGACGTGTATTCGTGGAAGCGTATCAGCTAGGAACCCGCGCGAAAGCCTGGCGAGAGTAACACGAGTAATTTCAACGATGGAAACCTGGGCCTGGCTGCTCGCCACGGACCCGGCTGCTTGGTGTGGGAGTCTCGGCCGTTTGGGTTCAAAGGTTCGCGATTATAACATTCCGGGCATGCCGTTTCGTGTGCATCAATTCGGTACGCCAGTTCCCTCTTTGCGGAGTTCACAGCCGCGGATCCGCTCGGCTCCCTTGGCTTTTCCCTCTTTCCTCCTCTCAGCGCCCCTTTTCTTCGGATGCTCTACACACAGCATCGCACGCTCGCGGTTGTCGGTCGAGGAGGAGAAGCAGGGCGATCCTTTCCAGGAAGGACCTGTTATCCGGGAATCGGTAAACGCTTCATTTTCCCCGCTCTCTTTTCACCGTCGGTTCGTTTGCGCGCTATCCTCGCTTTATCCCACGTGTTGCGCGCTCCGATGGGGTCAGCTTCTGGTTCTTCGTGATGGTTAAATACTCGAGGGGAGGCCGAATTGGACGTGCAGTTGCTGAAACGAACCGACCTATCGTGGAAACGAAGTCGGGAGTATTGATTGCGATATACAGGGTGCATCATAATATGTGGGCAGAAGTTCATCGGTTGATCTTTTGTACAGAACATTTTATGAAGTACTCATCTAAGAATGTACATTCAGTTTTTTTAAAGAAATTGAAAGGAACAGGGGGAGAAAGGTTATGTCAGCGAGCTATTAGGCAAGAACGTGTTCAGTCATAGGAAGGTTTAATTGGTGAAAGGGTTACTGGAGTCGCCAGAGGTTATTATAGTTCGCTTCAACTATTTCTTGCTTCTATGTTCGAACCAAATAATTCACAGTGTTCTGAAAATAGCCTCGACGATGTTTCATCAACGATTCGTTCTCGTTTTTCGTTTTCATCTAACGTTTGTGATTAACCTAGTTCTTTTAATTAGACATTATGAATCGTAAAAACCTTGCTCTTAGATTTCAATCAAGTTTAATAATCAATTTGGTCATTCTACAAAAAACAATTCTAAAGAATCTCGTGCTAATTTAAAAAAAAAACTTTAAATTATTTCTTTAAGATTTATTGCAAAATTTCACTAATAATTCTAATACGAAGGACAGAATCTTCCTTCTAATTGTGGACAGCTGATAAAATTTTCACGAGTGCTTTAAGTTCTCATCGTTATTCAATTATGTTAATTAGATAATTTCTTCGAACAACTGGCGCTCATCAATATCAAAGTCGGCTGTTTTTCATAGAATTTTTCCATGTCGATCGACGGACAACGTGACCGACGTGGGTCGAGATTACAATAAGGTGACGTCAGTGAACGTGTAGCCGAGAAATAGGAACGCTGTAAACTAGATCACCATGGGATTTATAGCCTCTGTTGCTTTTTAACCAACGGCTTTATCGTTCCATTGTCCCGTCGCGTTTTGTCGGTCGAGTAATTTAAGCGGTCGAGCAGGAGGTCACCGGTCGCGGTCAAAGCGATCGCTGTTCCACCCGCGAACTTTACATCATCGTAAAATCGGAAAAACAAGGAAAAGTCACCCGAACACACTCTGCGGTTATCTCGTGTTGGTTTCATGGGGTGAGTGAAAAATCATTAGAATCTTCTGGATAGTATTTGATAAACATCACCCCCAACCACCCTCATATTTTAAATAAAATAAATGTAATTCCGAAGCTTTCTACACAATTTCGTTTGTTTATCAGAAAAATAAAAGTCCTTTTCCTTTTCTTTTTGCTCTTCAAATTCATTTTAAAAAGACTGTGTCCGAAGAAGAAGAAAATGTGTCTGTCGCAAGTCGTTAACATAACTACTCAAAACGATCTCGAACGTCCTGAAACGAATCCTCGTCGGATCCTTTCTCCCTCCCGTGGTTGGTCAACGTGTCGACCGTTGGAAGTTGCACGGTCCGCAATGATGGGCGCATAAATAACGCGGGAAATGGACGACAGCGACAAAGCTAGCGTTGATTTCGCTGGCAAAAGGGAACGGCGCGCGAGCGGCGACCAGCGAAACGGCCTACCGAGATGGATTTATGCCAGCGTCATTAGGGATTAATTATACGCCTTGTCAGCCAGCTGATGCCCGTTTCTAGCTGTTGGAGATGGGCTGCTCTGTTCGTGCCGGAGGATCGAAGACGAGAAGAAGCGTACAGCTTCTTCCATCGGCGCTACGTTGCTGGTGCACGAAACCTCGTCCTATGATTTACGTCTCGCTTGTGAATATCGCGCGTGTAACTCGCCGCGGAACGCAGAACGATCCTGCGTTCGAGGTTTATGTTAACGTTCGACGAATCGTCGGGTGAACGAGCCCGCGTTCGTTTTCTAACGAATGCCTAGCGAATTTCATTGGGTGTACGCGAGAAGATAAACGATTGCCTTTACTCGGGATCAGGTGATATACGATGCGATCGAATGTGCTACCGCGCAATCCGCTTTTCAATCGTGTCTCGATAGAAAACGAGATTTTGTTCGTGTAAAAGAAGGTTCTGCGAGTGTGAGTTTAGGCGGTGTATTTGTTAATTAGAAGAGAGATGAATCAATATGAATGGATCAGGTTTTATGATTTTTCAAACTCAGCTGATTTTATGATTTCTTCTTCGCAACATTCGATCAATTAATTATTTCTCCGGTTTTTAATCATTCATTTGTGGGAATATTGAGAACAGATTCTCGTAGGGAACACGAATGAAGCCGGTGTATCGAGTGACCGGATGTAAAGCGTTCGTTTAACCGGGTTGGAAAGATTATTATGCGTGCGTTTCGCTGGCCCATCAGATCCCAACGAAGCACATCGTCCGTTTTAGGACGACGTTAGGCAATTCGTGAAAAAGAGGGAAACGTGAAAGAGTAGGAGAGCGAAGGGAGACGCAGGTCGAGCGACTGAAACGCACCCATAACCACCGTGCGCTCTAGACTCACGTACTTCCTTAATGCCGAATACGCCATCCGTTTTCTTGCCATATAAGTTTCTATCAAAAGGCTGGATCGTAATCCAGAAATCTCTCGCGTGACCCCATGGGAATACAGGCTCGGTGAAACTCACGCACGTCCTGCCGCTTCGCGAGCCGGTCAGACGCTTGAGAACGAACGAAATCGCTGACTCGTTGACTCATTCTTTTATAAAACGAACGTATCTGTGCTCCTTTTTTTTATTTATTGCATTTATTAGAAATTCCATATTTCATTTATTGTTGACAGCGATGATCATTCTATCTCTTCACTTATCTATGGTACTCCAAGTGTACTAATTTTATTCTTCAAAACTGATTTAGTCTTAAATTATACAATAAAATAGTTCCTGTTGCTAATTATAAATTTATTATTTTCTAGTGTGAAGGAGAGGCAGCCTGAAGGTTCCAGCCCCTGACAGCTTCCGGTGAGTCGAAATTTTGTAATTAATACATGTTACCGGTGCAGAATGCCTAGGCAATATTGATCTAAATCCTGATATAAACAATATTAATTTTCCCCTGAATTAAAGACCTTTTAAGATGTTTTCTTATTTTACTCATTTTTGGAATAATTATTTTACAAAATCCTTACAATACCTAGGAAAAGTTTATATAATATTAAAATAATTCTGACATTTCATACTTTGTCCAAAAACGCCAGACATTTTATTATTGCCTAGACATTCCATACAATGCTTACTTTTTATACACTTAGAAATTAATTCAGAATGATATAAATCATATCCTATTCAAAATTCGAAACTGCTTGCAATTCGTTTGAAAACTCGTTTAACCAGGGAAGAGCACCTCCCATGGTGCGTTGATTTGCTCAGCGTTTCCCTGAAAGGTAAACAGCACGTAAAGTTTCAATTTGATCTGGTTCGAAGCGCGTGCAGCGTCTGTGGGAATGCTCGCTGACTGGGCTCGCGGGCGATGAAAGATTTTGACGAATGTTCGTCGGTTCCGTGGACGCGTTTGCCTGGAGTTTCTTCGCGCAGAGACGCGAACGTGTACGTAGCGTGGTGCTGGCTGCTATACATTCGTCGGTAGGCCGGTCAGATCGCAAGTAGTAAATCGTTTTCTTGCCCCCACTGTTTATGCGGGGTGATTGATGAAGTTGCATTAATATTTCCGTAGCAGAGCTTTTACTCACGGCGCGCGAGACCGCGTACCATCCATACGTAGCCGTGGCGGCAATAAAATATGTCTCAACCGAGCAGATTTACGATACCGAGCCGCGAATAATTCTTTAAGGCGTTACGTCGATATCATCGATCCTGGTCGTTGAAACGCGACGAGTTTTCGTCCTGCGAATGAAAGACGAGAAGAAAGCTCCTTTAACCCTACGTTTAATTATACGAGATTCATGATTTTCTCATTTTTTTCAAATATTAATAATCCTCCCTGACGACGTAGTGCCAATCTATCAGCAATAGAATTTTTTCTGAAGATTAGTACTTAGTAGTCGGTCACGGTAAGGAACGTTTCAATAAATCAGTCGATGCGGACCAGCCCCTTTGCGAAGCAAGTGGGTCGTGCTCCCCCTACTGTTACGAAGAAATTTCGCTGGACGTGCACGCACGCGGCAAACAGCCTCCGGAGTCAGCGGAGAACGAGCAGTAACCTGTAATTACGCGTATTGTGAACTTCTCCGTTTCTCTCTCCTCCATGGGTCGTCTGGTTTGCTTTGCATTCGGTATCGACTCCGTAGGCCGTTCGCCGAAACTTCGTGAACTCCTTATTCGAGGATCATCGTATTTCTGACCTGTAACTTTCAAATTTTAACAGGGTACACTATAGTTTGACATGGCTCCTTTATTATAATTTGATTATTAATAATGTAGATTAATTTTTCCTTGGACGATTTGAACGAAATTAGAAAATTGAAAATTGCATAAAGATCAAAGAAACGAAAGCGGAAGAGACGTGTAACCAGGTTCGTTTCGGCTCGATTTCGGGATCACCCGGTACAGGTAGAGCGTCGAAGACGGCAGGTGTAGCCTGCAGGCGAGGAATCGCGAAGCGGAATCGCGTGGGCGCGTTTCTCAGGGTGGCTACGATGCGTCACACGCGAATCGCGCGAGAAAAGAGACTCGATGCCGGCGGTGGAGCGGGAGGCGAGGAAAACCGGGCGAAAGATGAAGACTCGCGACGAGACGGGCAGGGGCGAACAGTGCGAAATGACGAGACGAAGGAACGAGACAAAGGAAGGAGACGATACTTTTACGTTTCTCCTCTTTCCTCGTCTCGAGTCGCCAACAGAGAAGAGATTACCGCCGAGAGGACCTGTAGGCGAACTATGCTGGGTATCCAGGCTGAAGGTTGGGCAGAGAACTAACCAGCTAGGCTAACCAGCCGAGCAAACCAGCCCAGGATATATCCTGAGAACAATCGGACCTACCGACTGACTGGCGTGGGCGAGCCACCGGCGAAATATGCATTCCTAGCGAGCACACGCGTTAAAGGATTATTACGCTTACGTGCTCTCCACGGTGGGCCAACGAAAATCGCGATTTTCAGGATCCTCCTCGGACGCATCCGACGTACGTTCGCTTTCATAAGATTCAAGTTATTTCGAACGAATCTACCTTAAAATAATCAGAAGCCGAGGATATAACTATAGATCAGAGCACGGAAGTGCAAGAAAGCGCCATTAAAAACAGAGTTTCATTTTTCCTCATCTCGCGGTTCAAACGAGCGGGGCTTTGACGCGACCGTGGTCGGGACAATCTCGTTCGAGCCGCGGGAAAGATTAGAACTCGAGTGCAATAAACGAGTGGTCGCTTCCTTCAAACGATTCGCAGCCTCCATTATACGCGATCACCGCTGCAGCTGTCCCAGGAAGAAGTTGACGAAGAGCGCGATGACAGGCAGAAGGGGAAAGGGGGATGAGGATGTCATTGGGGAATAATAGGCCAGTTCTGCGGTCGCCGACTGCCACCAGCTTTGCGGATACTCTGAACTCCGCGTATAGATGCTCTCGGGCTCGTTGAATTGTCGTCATGAGAAACACGGAGATTGCCGAAACCCGCAGTTTCAATTAGAAGTGTACAAACTGCAAATTGAGACCGTAAATTGCCTACCAGTGTACTTACGTCCTCGGGATGTGCTCTTCGCTTCTGCGTGTAATCCATTGCACGGAAGCACTCGATTTTCCTTTTTTATTTCAAATTCGTTCTTTCCTTTTAGTAATTGTTGGATAGAAATAACTTGGTACGATGAGGATGGAAGTAGGGAATTAAGGGTGGAAGAGTAGATTCTAATCTTGGGGGTTGCCATAAGGGTGAATTTTGTTATCATCGAGAGTAAAAGTAATTTGTAAGATGGTCTGCTGGTTATTGATAGACCGAATTCCTGAGATATCGATCATTCTCCAACGTGTATACCTGCACAGAGAGTTATTGACTTGCAAATCAAAGGCTGAATATCTTTGAAACTATTAGTTCAGAGTGGGAGTCTAGGTTTAAAAGCATGAGGCATCATTTATCAAACTGTCTTGCAAGTGATATTTATTGTAGCAATTATACAACGTGTTCTTAAACAATAAGGTGTTTATAGACAAGATTATTCAAATCTTTGTGACAAATGAGATTGAAATGTCGAATTGAATTATATCTGTTCCTCTCTAAAGACGTTTCCTGCTGGAGGGAAACTTTCGAGCAATTTTGCAACGAATTCTTTGCTGAAATTTAACCGGGTCGTTAACGCTGTCAACTGCGATGCTTTTTCTTAAACAACAATCAGTTTCGTCCAATCTTTGGAACACGAGAACACTTCCTCGTGGTACGCACCAAACGATCAGCCCCTAGTTACGTTAGATTGCGTATTTCCGCGTGTGTATCGTATATCTCCGTCATTTTTCCCGGCGATTCGCAGAAGCGAGAAGTTTTGCGAACGTTTATCGGTAAAACCGTACCGATTAACGGTGAACGCATAGAAACCAGGAAGTCATTTGGCGAATTCTACGGCGCGCGAACGCGCGCGGTTTTACGGTTCTCTACAGCCGTCCAATCCCATCGAAATGCCAGCGTATTTCGAACCGGATCGTAATTAACCGCCCATTACTTACCGTCCGGAGACGGTGAAACCTTTTTGTTTCTACGAATCGGCTGGTAACCGCTCCCCTTGTCTCTCTAACTACGATGAATCCTCGACTTTCTAACTGGCTGGCCACCGAGGCCATCGGAGATCATTTTCGGTATCGTGCCTCTCGTTTGTCGATTTAACAAAAACCAATTGAACCATCGTAACGATAGAAACAATATTTTTTTTTTTAATGGAAAAGCGAATCAAACCCCTGTCCCTATAAAGATAGGCGAATGAAAAAAGCAAGTGCAAAACGCGAGAAACGAAAAACAGTTGTAGTTGTGAATGATGAACAGATCTAATTGCGACAAGCATTTTCCTCCCCATTCCATTACGTTCGAGCACGGGCAATTCACCGGGAACGATTCCGTCCCGAGCAGAAAGACATCTCGGAGCAGGACGGCCGCTAATCGCCCGAGCATGCAATCAGTCTACTAATTAGCCGCGACACGATTGTTGCACGAGCGGCCAGCCACCTGTCCGTATTACGGTAATAACGCTTCGTTGTGTGTTTGCAACTGGCAGCAACCGGACGTAATGTCGCATCTCGGATGTCCGAGAGCGGTTTGGCCTGTTATGAACCGCGGAACGAGCTACATTACGACGCTGTGTTTCCTAGCGGATCGTCTTGTTCTCCGCTTCGTAGACGACCGCTAAACTGCTGTCACAGCTCTAATCGTCGCACGTACAAGTTGTACACGCTCTGATCTTGACTTTAGCCGAGTTACAAAAGAAAGAAAGAAAGAAAGTTGAGAGTCATTTGTATCTGTTTGATCGTCGGTTGGGAGGATTAAACGCTTGAAACTCGTTCGAGGAACCTTTGACGTGCTTGTAGGTGAAAATGGGTAGTTAACTGGACTAAGTACCCGATTACGTGGGAGTTGGAATGGATACTGCCACTGGAGTTCAGTTGGTTGTAATTGTAGAATGTGTAAGGTGCTGGGAAAGCAACTATGTATATTCGATTCAGAATTATTTTTAATAATTACCATCTAAATCAACATTCAACCAATTACAATCTCAAAAAAGAAATGAAATGATTAAACATTTATCTCCGAGCCAAGTCTCTTAATCATATCCAAAACGCGATCTTCATTTCGTTGGAGGCTTTGAAACGCGTAAACAGGGATCGATGGCATGGCAAGGGCTCTAATTTTCCCGCGTAAATCGCCGATAATACGTGACGTCATCGTACATCAGGCTATCCGTGCTGATTGGGTGCGAGAATTGGGCCCCGCCAATTATCGGGTGACCCGAGCGCGATTTATGGGGTCAGTCGTAACTCATACCGGCTTCTCGTACTCCCTTCGCCGGTGAGGGCCCCCTGTATTCCATAACT